TACAAGAATCATATTTCTAAAAAAAAAAAAAAAAAAAAAAAGAATCATATTTCTAGATGATTCAAATGAATAACTATGAATACAAAAACAGTAAATGAATAGATGAAAATCTTGTAATGGTCAAAAAGTTCACGCTGATCTAAAAAAAGCACCAGATTCGAAAACACCGTCCAATCTTCAATGTACCTACTAACATAGTGGTCTGAACGGCGAAGATAATTGGTCAAAATTACCAAGACGTCTCTTAAATTAAAGCCCTCAAAAATCGACACACGAATTAACAGAGCAAGAGATGTCATCTACAAATTATATACCACATAACTTGATAAAATTAAATTCGTAACACGTTTTTGTATTGTGATTTGGATGTGTTACTTTTAGCATTTCAAAGCCACAGCTAATTGTACTAAAATTTATATTACCGTTCAGTGATTTTATTTAAAAGTATAATAACTAATAACAACCGTGAGTTATTAAAAACTAATAATAAACCTGTAACTTTTTCTTTGCAACTAATTGATTTAACAGAAAAAAGCATAGCACATTAAGTCAAAAAAACACTGTGAAGACCCCATTAATTTAATGATTTGATTAAAAATACATTAAAGATCAAGGTTTTGGAAAAAAATAAGAGTGATTTAGTGAATTACCCATATTTGAAGCTCAAATTAGCAAAATACCATTGATTGGACATGAAGGACACTGACACAACCATTTGACAAGGAAATGCCGAGAATGTCATTTCTCTTTCTTCTCATTAACACGAAGCGTAAAAACATTTGTTAACATATAACACTTCTGTTAACGTCTACAATATTTGTTAACAGCCAACACATTTATTACCGCGAAACGTAAAAATAATTGTTAACAGTTAACACTTCTTTTAACGTCTACAATATTTGTTAACAGCGAACACATTTATTAACGCGAAGCGTAAACATAATTGTTAACACCTAACACTTCTGTTAACGTCTACAATATTTGTTAACCGCTAACACGACGTCGAATCTAAAACCCATAAAATTGATATCATCAAAAAATTGAGGATTCAAAGCCACTTATGAAAATAATAATGAAATTTAAAATGTAATTGTATATAGAATGATAGAGATTTGTAAAATAATTAGGGATTGGAGAGAAAAAAAAGGTCAAAATTGAGGATTCAAAGCCACTTATGAAAAAATAATAAAATTTAAAATTTAATTTTATATAGAATGATAGAAATTTGTAAAATAATTAGGGATTGAAGAGAAAAAAAAGAGGAGAAATGTCAAAGAGAGGAGAGAGAGTGTAGAAAATGGCAAAATGGTCCAAAAAGTGATTGTCACATCATGGGCAATTCTCTAATTATAGGTGCCAAATAAGGCAAAACATTATGTCGCCCTAGAGACTTTTCTCTCTGGCACGTTTCTCAAGGAGCCGTTTCCATGGATTTTTCCAGATCTAACCACACTGTTCTTCCTTCTTCCCCCTGATTCAGTTCTGTTCTTTTCCATGGCCATGGTAGTCACCACTTCTCCGTTGTGTCTCCGACCCATGATGCTCACTTCTTCTCCGTCGTGTCTCCGGCCCCCTCCAGATCCGCCGCCGTTGCCGTTCCTTGGCTTGATGCAACACTGCTCTTTCTCCTTGAAGAGGATGATGACAGTTCTTCCTTCTCAGACACAGTCCAGGTCTCCTCCAGATCCGTCACCGAATAAGCCTCTTCTAGTTGAAACTCTTTCTCCCGTCAAGCCACTAGAACCTCCAGACCCACCAGACACCTACGTCAGCCTCGTTCCACTTCGAATCTTCGTTAGTTCCACCGGATCTTCTCTACAAGCTACTCGAACCCTAGATCTGGTATTTAACCTTTCAAGGGTTTCAAGTAAGCTTAGTGATGGTGGTGCTGCTCTTGTGGTCATTGGTGACACAATCCTTGTCTACCGGTGTTCGTTTCATGTGTTATACATGTTATTTCTGTGTCAGTGTTCTTTTCCTGTGATATACAGGTCGCTTTGTCATCTTGGGAATGGGTCGTCTAATAGCTATTGTTCAAGCTTTCGGATTATCTATTCGCTAATAGACATCCAGGTTCACCTTAGCTCTTTACTCTCTGGTTATCCCTATTCTTTTGAACGGGATATAATGCTAGATGTGTGGGTGATTCAAGCTTTAGTTGGTATCGTAATGATGGACTTTGTGGCCTTTGGCTACATATTTATGTCTCATGGTTGTTTCTACTCTGTTATAGAGTGTTCTCTGCCTATTGCTTCTTGGTTTCAGATCTGTCTAACTTCTTCCAGAGTGAAATACTTAATGTTAAATTACAGAGTGAAATATTATTCAACATATGACTCACTCTTTGTGTTCAAAGGCTCAGCATATTGGTGTCACATCATTTCTGTTATTCCTAGTGTTGTCGAGATACGAGGACGTCTCTACAATGTGGATGCAGTTTGGGATGCCAAGTCTAGGCACTGCGATATTGGAGTTATCTTCTCGGGTGAGGATACCATCACCTTACCAAATCTCTGCGAGTCTCGCAGTCATGTATCATCAGCACTCATGGTTGAAGCCATTGCTGTCCGTGTTGCGGTAGCTACTACCGTCTACTCAAATGTTCGATCCCTGGCAGTTCTTTATGTGCCTCTACCTCTCATCAAGCAATTGAAGAATGGTGGATCTCAGCCGGAACTGTTCGGTATTATGTTTGATATCTATCATTACTTGTCTTACTTTGATGTTATGTCATATACTTTTATTTCCCAAATTTTTAATGTAGAAGCTGATTCAGTGACAAAATCAGCTTTCTCTTTGGTTGTAATCATACCCTTATTTGGGGTGTAAACTCTATTAAAGTAATGCATGTTGTTTGATCAAAAAAAAAAAAAAAGGTGCCAAATAAGGCACTTTAACCAATTATCTCAAAAAATAATATTCAAATTAATGAAAAAACTTACAGGAGATATTCCACATAGTGTAAAGAATATTAGGGATGGTTGGTAAGTGCTATAGTTTTTATTTTTTGGCTTTAGAATAATAGCTGTAGATTTTATTGTTGTAGATTTATATTAATAATTTTCAAAACACTAACTGTAAAGCTCTAGAAAAACTGATTTTCAAAGCCATTTTATTTTTTATTTTAGTTTTAGGATTGTATCTTTAAATTAATTCTCTACAACATGATTAATAAAATGGTTGTACTCCGAACACTTATCAATTATCCCTAATTTGTTAGACATGGCTCTTATAGGACAACTTAGAATGGTACATTTAGAAGAAACAAAATTATACGATGAAAATAAATGTTTAAATTGTCTTTGTAGTTTTATTTTATTTTATAATAGTATAATTAACCATCATTAAAAAAAAAAATCTTTTAAAATAACGTGGGAACTTCAGACAACGAATATATGAAAATATCACACAACAAATTTCGTTAAGGAAGCATAAAACATGTGGCCCTCAAAAGTAGTGTGTATTGTGACATAGAAACCATGCTTTGTAAGCTTTAAACAATGGACGATTCTGACCAGCTGGCTCATTTCAGGGTGTGTAATTTGAAATCTAGGATATTCAAGGAAGATAATTAGATAATGGTCTATATTAGTGAATTTTGTATTAGTGGCGAGTTCTCGGACTCTTTGAAAATTAAGTGAATATAAACCTGTAAACCTATTTTTGTTTAGGAAGGAGACAAATACACAAAAGAAAAACACATTACAAAGTTTTGCTTCTAATTTTTGTCAACAAATAAGTCCGACAGTCAAAACGGAAAACTTTGATGCTATATTGAATTAAAGAAAGACTAGTTTTTTTCTTTTTTTTTGGGTCAAAAAGCAAGACTAGTTTAAACTTTAAAGACACTTTTTGCAATGAGAATCGCTCTTCTATTTGATTTAGGAGTCTCCACCACCAATAATTTGACAAAATAGTGTATTAAAAATCTCTTAAAAATATTAGTAAAGAAAAAAAATAGAAACTATAGTATTTTCTTTTTGAATGAAAATATTGAAAGTTTTCAAATTTTATTATATAACAAAAAATTCAGACAAATTGAATATGTTATAGTAGGTCGACAGTGGCATAAATAGGTAAATATCAAATCAGTATAATAGTTTTCATGAAAACGAGTATGCCGAATAACTTTCTATACAAGTCAAGTATGAGTTTATACAATATTAATATCAGCTAGTGAAGGAATTCACACTGGCTACACATTTTATTTTATTAAAAAAATTCAGATACCAATATCAATTATTTCAAAAGAAAGAATGGCAACCAAATTATATTGGGATTTGATTTTATTATTAATGATATATTTCGTCCATTCATGAAAACAATATTTTCTAAAAAAAATTTCTTAGTAATTTTTTTTTTGTGTTTTAAAATAATTTTGTATAAAACATTAACTTAAAATATTTAAACTGATTAAATGTCATTGGTTGATACATGTACTATAAAATAAATAGAATATTTAGTTTTAAATATTAATTATATTTTTAATATGCATGAATTTTCTTAAATCATCACTGCTATAATTTTTTTTGGAAGGGAGGGAATAACTTATAAATCATCACTGCTATAATTTTGTTAGAGTTTTTTTTTTTGTGAACTTATAATTTTGTTAGAGTTGATGGGATTTGCACTCAACAACTCAAATTTTTGCAACGTGTGTGGCGCAACCAAACTTTTAAGGCTGGAATGTCAAAACTTGAAATGAATATTTGTGGCCTCGATCGTTCATCCTCGTTCACTTACCCAACACCAACGCCACTTACTTCTTCTAATATTTCACTGTCGTCACACGTAGCGTCTATACTTTCTTTTAGTAAACCGTAGCGTCCATACTTGAAATCGTTATGTCACAAATTCATCACAATTCCGTCACCATTCTCCTTTCCTTTGTTTATAATAACTCTTAGAATCTTCACAAGATTATACTAATACACTAAGAATATAACGTGACATGAGATGGGTGATATGATGTGTGACGCTACCTTTATTATTTATTATATTAATTTACAAATTAAAAGATTACGTAACGCACCAGCAAGTAGGGCTGGACTTATTATTGGGGATCCAGGTCCTTCCGATCCGCTCTGAAAATAAGATATCTGGAAGGTATCCAGATCCGGATCCTAATAATAATATCTTATAACCGTTTAAACCGAATCCAAACCTGGATATTTTAATTCTAGGTCCGGATATCCGGATCTAGATCTGTATTTTTTTAAAAAAATATTAAATATTTTATTTTATTATTAATTATATATAATATATTCATATTTATAATAATTTTTTATAATATTATATTTTAATATTAATAATATTATATGTCATATATATGCTCATAATTTTTGCATAAATATTTAATTTATGTACTACTTTTTAAGAATTTTTTGATTTTTTAATATTTTGATTTCAGTTATTTTTACGGATCCGAATCTGGATACCCGCGGATATTACAATATTTGGATGGATATCCAAACTTCGTATACCCTCCGGATTCGGATACTAAAATCACGGATCCGACGAATCCGGATCCGAATACTTCAAATCGGATATCTAGATTCGTCCCACCCCTACCAGCAAAGATTAAAATTTTGTATATACATGTAGATAATGAAAAAATTTATCTGTTGATTAAAGAGGAGAAATGTTTATGAGCAATAGTAAATGTGCTTTCAAAGAACTTATCCAACTTCTCACTTGAGGTATGAAGCAAATGGGCCAAGAAAATAAGATTGTGAGGCCCAATGTATAGGCCTAAAGAAGATAGAAGCTTAGTTGAACCTCACAAGCCATATGCAACATAAACTACAGATATACAAGCAAGTGTATATCAATCACTTTTTGTTTTCAAGTGCCTTCGATCCTGTGTAAGTCGGTGCTCCAAGGTGGCTGGACGGACTATTTCGTGAGGAAATGATACCTACCGTAGTGTAGTGTCTCTGTTTTTTTCTTCTTTTTTTTGTCAATTTTTGCGTAAGCTTTCAATACTCTCTTTCTTTTTCTGGACACAAGGTTTGGGTCTTTTGGATGAATTATTCAGATGAAAAAATAGTTCTTTTTCTTTTTAAATGCACGATTATAAATATATATTATTTATAAAACTATGTAACCATACTTTTTATTTTGTGTGTCATACTTTTTATAACTTTCTTTTTATATGCACGATTATAAATATATATTATTTATAGGTACAAAACTATGTAACCATACTTTTTATTTTGTGTGTCATACTTTTTATAACTCCCCAAAGAGTGTTCCTTTTACTCTTTATGCAATAATCTTTTTTTTTTTTTTTGAAAAGACAATCATTTATTGGGTACGAACGGAGAATGAAAGGGCGATTTTTTCTCTCCAAGGGCGACTTGAGGTCGACCAATCAGAGTGGAGTAAACTTCCAGAGGGTTTTTTTCCCTGCTGTCTTATGGATTAACTTGGAAAATTTCCAATTTTTTTCTGAAGATCTTCGAAAATCTTTAGAAAATATCCTTTTTTCCGTCAAATCTTCAAGGAAGATATGTGTTTATCTAGGGTTTTCATCGAAGCCGCCTCTTATCTTAATCTCACGCAATCGATACCAAGAACACAAATCTTCGAAGAGTCTCTTTCTGCTATTGATGGAAGAGAATTTGGCCGAAGTTCTACAAGGAATGTCGCTCGGGGAGGATAAACCTATTCTTATTCCGGATGAACTCGAGTACTGTGCAATGGTGCGAGGTGAAAGAAGTATTATGGGTCGGCTGCTGAATCCAGACCGTCAGAATATGGGCAAGATGTTGAAGACAATGCCCAAAATCTGGAAGGTGTATGAACGTGTGAGAGGTATAGCGCTGACGAAGGTTAAATTCCAGTTCATATTTGATCTGGAAACAGATATTCAGACGGTGCTGCGCCAAGGTTTTTGGACTTTTGATGATTGGGGTATGGCAATGGAACGTTGGGTGGAATCTCCTCCTCACGATTATCTTCAAAAGGCAGCTATCTGGGTGAGATTGTTCAATCTTCCGGTGAACTACCTTACCACGAAGACTATCGACATCATTGCTGACGGTATTGGTCATGTGGAAG